AGTTGTTTTTTTTCCTCCATAAGGTCATATAAATGGAACCATACAGCAAGGCTCCTTTTCAATCTTCCACTTAACCCTATTGCCATTGAGTTGATTCAGACTCATAGCAACCCTACAGAACAGAGTACAACTGTTGCTTAGGGTTTCCAAGGCTGAAATCTTTAAGGCAGTAGACTGCCACATCTCTCTCCAGCAGAGTGACTGATGAGTTCGAACTCAACTGCCAACCTTTTGGTTAGCAGGTGAGCGTTTAATCACTGCCACAAAGACGCCTTGTCTTTCTCTTGTTATGTGCCATCAAGTCGGACCCGACTCATAGCAACCCCTCCTTGGGTTTCCAGGCAGTATTACTACAGAAGTGACTGGTGGATTTGAACTACCAGTCTTCCAATTAGCAGTCAAGTGCCTTAGGCACTATGCCACCAGAGCTTCTGTTTTTCCCTTAGCATAATACATTTAAGATTCATCCATGTTGTTGCAGGCAGAAGGAGTCCACTTCCTTTTCATCGGTGAGTAATATTCCATTGATTGAAACCAGAATTTGTTTAACCATTCACCAGGGAAATGAAGGACATTGGGTTGTTTCCAGATTTAGAAGATTATGAATAAAGCTGCTGTACACATTTAACTATAGAATTTTGAGCGAATACAGGTTTGTATTTCACTTGAAAAAAATACACAGGAATGGGATTGATAATTTTTTCGTAAGCATAATTTTTAACTTTGTAAGAAACTGCCAAACTGTTATCCAAAGAGGCCGGACCACTCGGCCTTCCTACCAGCTGGGTATGAGAGTTCCAATTGTGTGGTATCTCTGTCAGCAGTCAGTACTGCCGGTTTTATTCATTTTCGCCATTCTCATGGGTATGTCAGGAGCTCTGGTGGTGCAGTGGTTAAGGCATTTGGCTGTTAACCAAAAGATCGGTGGTTTGAACCCACCAGCCACTCAGCATAAGAAAGATGAGGCACTCTGCTTCTGTAAAGATTTACAACCTTGGAAACCCAATGGGGATCCCTATGAGTCAGGATCGACTTGATGGCAGTGAGTTGGGTTTTTGGAATGGGATTATAGTAATATCTCAATGTTGTTTTGCAAATCCCTATGGCTAATACTTTTGAGCATTTTCATATGCTTATTGGCCATTCAGATACACATGGTTTGAAGTTTCTGTTCAAATAGTTTGTCCATTTGTAAATTTGTCTTATTGAATTGTAAACACTCTTTGTATACTGGCTTTCATTTGGCTGAAAGTTGAGCCATGGAAGTAAGTTCAGTGTCAGGCTTGATGTGTAAGTGCCACAGTTTTGGGGGTCCCACTAGTCTCTGCCAGACTCATAAGCCTGGTCTTTTTCACGATTTTGAGTTTTGTTCCACATTTTTCTCCCACTCTATCCAGGACCGCCTATTGTGAACCATGATTTTGAGTTTTGTTCCACATTTTTCTCCCCCTCTATCCAGGACCGCCTATTGTGAACCCTTTCTAAGTGCTCAGTAGTAGTAGCGGAGCACTTTCGTAAAAAATCAGTTGTCCATATGTATGTGGTGTATTTCCGGACTCCGTTCTAGTCCAGTGGTCTCCATGTCAGCGTTCATGCTCACGCCAGTACAAAACACACATAGCTTTACAATACGTTTTGAAATCTGGTAGCGTCGGTCCTCCAACCTTGTTCTTCTTCAAAATGGTTTGACTGCTCAAGATCCTTTATGTTTTTATATACATGTTAGAAGCCTGGGGTTCTGTACAATGTACATCTTGAAGCTGGAATTTTGAGTGAGAGTGTATTGAATCTTTACGTCCATGTTGGGTGTATTAGTTTCCTACGGCTGTTGTCACAAATGACTACAGACTTGGTGGTTTAAACAACAGACTTCTATTCTCTCATAGTTCTGGAGGTAGAAGTCCAAAGTCTGTTCCTTGCCTCTTCCAGCTTCTGCTTAAAAAAAAAAAAAAAAACTAAATGGTTTGTCATAATATTATTGGTAGATGTGTTTTATACTTTTAAATTCCTTGGAGTTGCTGGAAAGAAAACCCAGACTCACTGCCATCGAGTCAGATCTGACTCATAGCGACCCCTCCTTGGGTTTATCACTATGGAAGTAGATTGCCCAGTCTTCCCCCCAAGGAGTGGCTGGTGGATTTGAACCACCAGCCTTCTGGTTAGCAGTCAGATGCCTTAGGCACTGTGCTACCAGAGCTGGGTTTATTGCCATAATCATTTCAGTCCCTACCTCTGGTCACATTGCCCTCTCCTCTATGTGAGTGTCAAATCTCCGTCTGCCTCTCTCCTGTAAGGACACTTAAATTGTATTCAGGACCCACTTGAATTATGCAGAACAAGATCCATGGCTTAATCATATCTACAAAAACCTTTTTTTCCAAATAAAATGCCATTTATAGATTTCAGAGATTAGGACTTGCTATCTTTGAGGGCCAGCCTGCTAGTGGAGAAAATTTACATTTTAACAATATTGAGTCTTATCTGTGATCGTGGTCTGTCTCCCAGTTCATTTAGATCTTTAATGTTTCTCAGCAATGTTTTGAAGTCTTCAGTGCATAGGTGTCATGGATTGAATTGTATCCCAAAAAAATATGTGCTGTAAATCCCTAACCTCTATTCCTGTGGGTTTGATCCCATCGGGGAATCAGTTTGTTATGTTAATGAAGCAGGATTAGTGCAGGCGTGTCTGAGTCAAACTCTTACAAGATATAAATGGAAGACGCGGAGAGAGAGGAAGATAGAGGCCAAGACACATGGAGACCCAGGAAACAGCTGAAAAGACAGAGGACCTTTCCCCAGAGCCGACAGAAAGAGAAAGCCTTCCTCTAGAGCTGGAACCACAAATTTGGACTTCTACCCTCTTAACTGTGTGAAAATAAATTCTGTTTGTTCAAGCCATCCACTTGTGGTATTTCTATGACAGCAGCAGCAGATACCAAGAGACTAGGTATTGTGCATATTTTGTTAAATTTAAACCTAGTTATTTTTACTTTTTCAAAATACTTTTTTTTTTTTGCTAATTCCACCATCTCTGTCATTTTGGGGTCTGTTCCTGTTGACTGTTGACTGATTTTTCTGCTGGCATGGGTCACATTTTCCTGCTTCTTGCCATGTCTAGAAATCTTTGTTTGAATGCTGGACACTGTGATTGTTACATTACTGATTATCTGGATTTGGTTGTTATTCATTAAAGAATGTTGAACTTTGTTCTGGTGGGAAGATCAATTACTTGCGAATCAGCTCGATTCTTTCAGTACTTTTTTAAAAACTGATTTATTGTCGTAAAACTGTATGTAACAAAGCATTTGGCAATTCAGCATTTTTACATGTACAGTTTAGTGACATTAAGTTCATCGTGTTGTGCAAAACCATCACTACTATCCATTGTTTCCAGATTATCCCACTACCATTGACAATCCCAGTTCCCCTCTAAGCAGACTCTCTCATCCCTATTTCATCCTATCCCTGGTAACCACTAATAAGCTTTTTATCTATAAGTGGGATCATACAATATTTGTCTTTTTGTGACTGGCTTATTTCACTCAGCTTAATGCCCTCAAGCTCCATCCATGTTGTAGCATGTGTCAGTACTTCCCTTCTCTGTCTGACTGATCAATACTCCATTGTATGCGCGTACCACATTTTGTTTATCCATTCATCTGCTGATGGACATTTAGGTAGATTCCTTCTCTCAACTACTGTGAACAGTACAAGGAACGTGGTTATACTCAAGGCTTATTTTTTAAATCTTGTTAGAACAGGTCTGAAGTAGCCTTTACTCTAAGGATAATTAATCCCTATTACTAAGGTGTGACCCATTTAAGGCTTCTAATAAATGCCAAGGAGATCAGCCAGGACTCTCGACTCAGGCTGGTGGAAGCTTGAACTTCTCTCCCTCCAGGTGAGGTCTGGGAGTCACCCAGCTCACTGGCTCTCTGGTCATCCGAGCCCCGTGAGCTTCACTTCATGTGTGTGTGTGTCTCAGTATGCAGGCAGACTCAGGAATACCCCTGTACAAATTTCGGCAGCTTGTTGGTTGCAAAGCTTTCTGTCCTCCAGAACTCCATCCTGCAATTTTTGGGAAGTCTCCTCTGGTAGTTAAGGTTGTGTGTCAGCTTGGCTGGGTGTGATTTTGACTGGTCTGGCAGCTGGATGTAGTTATCCCTTGTGATGAGACTGTAGTCATCTCCATGGTGGAATCGCTGTGAGCACCTATCAGATGAAGGGGCGTTGCCTTTGGGGTGTGGCCTGCTTCCAGTATATACGGAGCAGCTTTGGGAAAGGTCTGCAGCTTTCTGGCACATTTTGGATCCTGTGTTTGGCTGAGTCTTCACTTCCAGTTCCTGGACTTGAACCAAGTGGCCCGCCATGTTGCCTGCTGGATTTCTTGCCAACCTTGGGACCGTGTCATTTTTCCTGTTGACCTTGGGTTTGTCAGCCTCAGCAGCCAGCAGCTGCCTGAGATAGGAGATACCTCCAGCTCCAGTAGGCCTGGAGTAAGAGGCAGAGCTGAAGCCCAAGATCTAGGGGCCTTCACCCAGCCCCTGGAGCTCTGAATTGGACTTCTAGCCTCCTAAGCTGTAAGCGAATTAATTCCTGTGAAAGCCATCCACTTGTGCTATTTCTCTTATAACAATACTGGAGAACTAACGCCAATCTCTATGTCCTCAACTCAACAAGATAAAGATTTTCCTGCTCTGGCTGGGATTCTTCCCCCAGCTCCTAGTCTGGAATAGGCCTCCCAGGAACAAGTGGAGGTAGGGGAAAGGTGGGAGGCGTAAGAAGGGGCACAAACATAGGGCTTACCTCATTTGCTTCCTTTCTCTCGAAACTCGCAGCCCTGCAGGGGCCTGGTTAATGTCTGGACACTTTTTCATATATTTTGTCTAACTGCTTATGGTAAGAGGGTAAGGGAAGTCCCTGCTACTCCATCATTGTTGTCGTTGTCACCATGAAGTTTCTACTGATGTCTTTAATTCCTGCCTATTACTTGTTAGGGGGCAGTAGTGGTTCAGTGGTAGAATTCCTGCCTTCCATGCAAGAGGCCTGGGTTTGATTCCCAGCAAATGCACCTCGGGCATAACCATCACCCGTCTATCACTGGAGGCTTGCGTGTTGCTAGGATGCTGAGCAAGTTTCAGTGGAGCTTCCAGAGAAAGACCAGGAAGAAAGGCCTGGTGATCCACTTCCATAAAACAGCCAGTGAAGACCCGATGGGTCACGTCGATCCATTCTGCATCTGTTCATGGGGATGGCCCAGGCCCGGGCAACGTTTCATTCTGTTGTGCATGGTGTTGCCATGTGTCAGGGCCCACTCGATGGCAGCTTACAACATAACTCGTCAAACTCCTCTTTTTAACCAAAAGAGGCAGTGATATCTATGTAGAATTCAATAGCCTTGTTTTTGTTGTATTTATGTTTATAGCAATGATGCTGATGATTCCAAATGAGGTTATAATACAAAGTTTCCTTACTAAGTATATGAATAGGCTTAAGTTGTTGAAAGAGGAAGCTATTCTACAGAAAGAATTTATTACAAAGGGTGCAGTGGCTCTAGGTGCTGCCCAAACTATAAAGGCTGGACACAAACACCTGAAGGACCTTACAGCAAAGGCACGTTCTGACTTATGGTTAATTCCCAACCTGTCTGCCTGTGATGACCTGCCTTGGTGCTCATTTGGCCTTTCTCAAGCCTCTGTCTCGTGGCACACCTTCTGCAAACTTTAGCCGAAGTCCCAATAACATCTGCATCACGAAATTTTCTGTAGCTGGGGACAATTATTTATGGATCAGAAAATTTCATTTAGCATGATTTATCATCGCAGCCAATTAGAAACTGAATAACGGCCCAGCAATAAGGACAGAGATACAGCGTGTTTGTCCATCTGTACAATGACATGAAAGGCAACAATTAAAAAACTGGAGGCTCTGAAATAAGAAAGATGTGGAAAATGCTTCCACTGTCCCTTGCATGACTAAAAGCAGGCTGTCATGATGGTGTGTCAGTTTTATAAAGATCTATACAAAAA